GGTATAATTCAAATATTGGGGATGCTACAATATTATGATTTGCTTACATATCCACTGAGGTTATGTTACTATAGGTTATTATTGTTTTAAATATTGGAAAAACCAAGCATAGGCATAAACTAGTTAAAATGTAAAAGTTAAGTTAATTTTAACTTTTTAAATTTAATTTTCATTAACTTAATTTTTAACTTAACTGACTTGTATCAAGATAAACTTAATTTATAAATAATTGTACAATATATATATGATAAAATTATTATTGATGATACATATATTGCATATAAATTTACTATTTAATATTTTAAACCATATTATTGGCTATTTATATATAAAAAAAAAAAAAAAAACAAAAATAAAAAATAAAACTGAATTTAAGTTATTAAGTTAATTGTAAGTTTCCATAGCCCAATGTAAAATATTGTTTCTATTTGTCGTTCAGGGAAAATAAAAATTTCTCATCCCAGTACAGTATATATGCAAATGCTAGAACGCCAGGGATTGAAGAATAAATATATTTTACACTTAAACATTTTTAAACGAAATAACCAACCATGAAAAAAAATTACAGTTAATTACATTGTCTCAATTTTTTTTCACGAGCGTTTAATCTTACATTTTTACATAATAATTAGTCAAAACCATGAAAATGCGTAAAATATTTTGAGGCTTAAAATTTTAAAATTTAAATATCTAATCGAGAAAATTTAATATCCATTTTTATGAAAGGTCAAAGTTTGATGTTAAAACGTATAATATATGATACGTTATTTATTCTCGAACCAAATTTTGTTATTTTTCAAACAATATCTACGCTTTTCGTTAACATATAGGTACTAGCATATTATTTAACACCATTCTATGGCGGTACGTCGGTATGACGGTGTATTGACTGATAAGTTAATAATAACTAGTAATAAATAATAATGTATTAAATAATTTGATAATTATTATAACAAAATATAGAAGTTTGAATTGTTTTTGGTAAAATTAAGTTAAACCTATCTATTATGGTATTTAATTGAATAATAAAATATGACAAAATACCAATAGGCTATTAGTAATGACTAATGGCCAATTGGTGTATTAGCAATTTAAATGTAAAATATTATAAAATATTCTTAGAAATATAAGCTGCTCAGCTTCGGATCGTTTTCGTATAGAATGATTTATTGTTGAATTCGTGTTTAACACACACATACCAGTGACCCACTCAATTATGACAGCTATACAGAAGAGCGATATTCTAGGTTGTTTTGAGCAATAATATCTAGTGGACGTAATCGTTTTAAATTTAAAAACACCTCATGTAATATTCCTTTCTCAATATTTACCTTTTCCTTCGTATTCGGAAAACCAAAAACAGTCACATTCGGTTGACATAATATATAAATAATACCAACAATATTTTATAATGTTATGACTCAAAAGTCGTCGACTCATATGCAGGCGCCGTGAAGTGTACAAAAAAAAAAAATTAAAAAAAATATTTTAATCGACATATCCGATCTCAAAAAAAAGATTAAAATCGCTCCAACACATTTGGGTAGCCAAGGGAGTATAATATACGAGTCGACATTTTTTGTCTACGGGCTGCGCTAGATACCAATAAAAATACCAAAATAATGATAAAAAATATGTCAAAAACTACTATAGTATACACGCAATAGGTGCACATTCAATATTGCAGATATATACACTTCGTATCATTAATCGCCCAGTAAATCGAACTCGTCGCATTTAATGAAGTTTTTTTAGGGTTTTTTCTTTTTAAGAACGTCTGAATCTGGTTGAACTCGGAATTCGGAGTGGTGGCCCCCGGGCAAACACCGCGTGAATGAATATCATCCGAATGTCGGAAGAACCCGTTATAAAACCACAACACCAATCAAGTCTTAATATGTTATTATGTATATATATCATGTATATTATATATGTATATGTGTGTAAATATACATACATACATACATACGCTTATATTTAACGGTTTCCGTATATTCTATATATTTTTATTGTATAATGTACGTACATAATATTATGTACTTGTGCACATTTGAGATTTTTCTGCGCGGCGGCATCCTACGAATTAGCCATGCAATATAGGACTCGTATAATATACGACGACAGTATATTATGTATTGCGTGTGGTCCGCGGGTCATAATACTCATAATATCATACATAATATATGTAATAGAGTATTATTGTAATATATTATGTTATATATATAATATATATATATGTATGTCGTTTTTCGCCGACCATGACTGAAAACTCGGATCGGTGTTATCCTATAACTGTACCAACCATAATTTATAATCATATTAAAATGTATTGTGTGCGGTGTATGCGTTGTACCTGTAATATATATATATATATATATATTTGTAATACCTATGTATATTATAATATGTACCTAACCGACATGATAATATGACGTATCCGTCGATTTAGGTATAGAACGGGAAAAAACATTTTATTAAATTAAAACGGGATAATATATGGATTAAGAAAGGTGTATGCAGTTTGCCGCGAGTTAATGCGAGGGACAAGATCATGGAATTCGAGTATCCGCTCGCAAATCGTACATGTCATATAGTTATACTCATAATATATTATATTATCATTATTATATACACGACAGTGTTGTCCCGCTATAAGTACCTACCTATAAAACCTAGCTGGAATGCGCATTCTTTCTGCCTGATTCGCTTGGTGATAATCCTCTCCGCGACCTTCATCGTTGCAGTCGTGACAATTTTGTATGCATTATACATAATACATTAATACATATATTATATAAATACACCGTTATGTAACGTTCAACAAACGTTAATATTAATATTATTAATCGGACTAATATGATGGCTGCCGCATATTATACGACTGCTCTACGCACTTCTATACAGGTGGTACAGCCTGTATAAGCTGGAATCGTTTAAGTCTCCGCAATGTAATAATATGTGGAATTGTGGTACTTGGTATTATTATTAATTATGATAGCGTCAGGTTATCAATTTCAGTGTTAGTACACTGTAGTAGGTATATATATATACTATATTGTTAAGTATATTTCTAAAACAAACATTACGAATATTGTGTAGTTTCATCTATTACAATAATATTCATCAGTATTCAGTATAAAATATAAATATATATATTACCTATTACATAAGTGATAATATAACTTTAAATTATTATAATAGGTACTCTTGGATAAAGCTTTTCGTAACCACAATTATACACATCTATCAAAAAAGATGACTGAACAAACTATTATCTCCTTTGATATGAAAAAGCCCCTTGCATAACTTTTTACATGTGAAAAATAAATTATGATTCATGTCAACGGACGTATATTATTTTATTTTCTATACTTTTACATTTGTCATTTATTTAATTTATCGTGAATCATGATTACCTTTCTATAATCGGCGATATCATTAATCCACTATTTATTTTACCGGGGGATGACCTGGTCATAAAAAATTTTAATTCAATATTAAAGATTGATCTGAAAGTGAAAACGTTATTCGACTAGAAAACGTTGACAAACTTTAAACAGTAATCGTCGACACAAACCTCACACGAATGTATAGGATAATTAAAAAATTGAAAATGTAGTTAATGTTTTACTGATTTAAGTACAATTTCTGATATCATACCATTTTGAACAGTTGTATTTTTAGTCACTATAATAATATAATGGTATATATGGGTCTATGGGTCATGGGATATAATAATAATAATTTATATAACTGGTGGGTAACTTGGTTTTCTGGTTTATTCGAAATAGCATACTCAATGCTATAAAATATATGTTCAATGGTAATTGGTACAATGATGATAATATGTAGCACGGGAAATACCTATTAGTTGTCCCAATATCATACATACTCATTCACCGCGATGGCTCGATGTTTCCTGTATTACATTTACAATTGACACAAGTCTCTGCTTATTGAACTCACTTTGAGATCAGAGTATTGAAGTCCATAAATCGAAAGAGTGAATAAGGTGAAAGGTCGAAGAATAAAAAATATATATACAATATACATCATAATATATACGCGTATGCATTGTAATAAAAAATAAATAAATTAGGCTATTTGCTAACAAATATTTATTATTATGTATTTATTTATGTATTTCAAATGTATGTTGTCCTTCAAAAAGAAACAAAAAACATGAACAATGATAAAGATAAAAAAAGAAAATATTTTTTCCCAAAAATGTTGTTTCGTAATGATAGAAACTACATTTAAATTATGTAAAAAATATTTTAAAAAAACTTAAATACTTTTTGAGCTGATGAAGCAAGGAAACAGTTTTAATTTTCAATATATTTGCGAAACAACACATGGAAATCATCCTTAAAATACACATTGACCCCATTTACCATATATATAGTACAGTCTAAAAGATATTTTTTCCAATATGTGTTTGTTAGCATACTTGTAAATCGGAACCAGCCTATCCAATAGGCTCATTAGTCCATTGGCCGTGAATCCAAAAATCGACGATTACTGTATATAATATTATATTTTACACAATATACTTACCTACACAATTATATATTATTTTTAAAAGACGACAGGCATTAATTCCATCGAAGGTATTTCTCGGCTTTCTGCGTTATAATAAAAGACATCGTCAAGAGTAATCAATACTAACCATAGGTAATGAAATGGTGGATATCACGACTTAATATATCCTCATGTTATATTATTAATATGGCTTTGGACTATCGATATCATTATTATCTATGTGAACGTGTGATTTACAGAAAGATTTTATGCTATGGAAGTATGTGAATCCACACGATCGCTCGTGGATACCCAAATAGATGATAAAGAAATGTACCAAAAATATTCTTTACTGCTTATACGGGTTGGTATACCGTCGCCAGTTGTGGCAAAGCCGGCGACGAACGTCCCTGGGGAGGGGATCGGTGGCGGCGAAGACCGGACCGCACGCGAGCGCTCCGACCGGCTCGGGCCGGTGCAGCTGCGGCGGCGGTCACAAACGTTTCACGCCGTCCGACAGCAACAGACGTCGCGAGCGCGCATCACGTCGACTCTCATCAACAGGTGCTTCAGCCCTTCCGCCCCTCTACACACGACTCGGTTTGTTGTACGCGTTTTGACGGACGTCCGCGCCCTGTCCGACGACAGACGTTGTTTACCGTCTCGCCGGCAAGTGCGCACGGGAAACGATCCCCATTGGTAACCTACAAATAGGGGAAGTTTTCGCGAACGCACGGGGTGTCACGCTGCGAAACGATACGATCGCCGTCATGTCAACGTGCAGAAGTCTGCCGACTTGCAGCCACGCGACCCGTGGAAAACGCCGTTGACGGGTGCTCGAAGTCGTCGAACGCCTTCCGCCGCGGGTGAGCGTCCGTTCCGGGTGCAGCCGCCGCCGCCGCCGCCGCCGCCACTGCAGCCGCTGCCGCCCCTCGTCGGCGGGATCGCGCCCTCCGACACCAGTACAGCTACGCGATGGCCCGACCCGGCGTGGTGGCGCCCCTCATCCAGTTGCTGCTGTGCGCGGCCGCTCTGCGACCCGCCTCCGTGATGGTCAATGGCCAAGACGCAGACTCACTGGCCAGCAGCTTTTTCTCAGGTACACATATTGTCATTATAGTATAATATTACTCTGCATACACAAGTCTAATGATGCACCCATTCGTCGTAATAATCGTAGTTGTGTTAGGTATTATTATTATTATTAACAGTTCACACGGTTATTATTTTACTGAATATCGATTACCTTGATGTTTTTAAATATTTTGAAAAAATATAACATAAAAGATAAAAGTATTGGTAAAAATCAGTTACAGTAGTATTGTTACATCTGTGTCGCTTATATCACATCATATTAGTTATATTGATATTATATGTTGGTGCTCATGTCATATTATATCCTGCATATTCTTAGTACCGTCTGCGACTATGTTATTAAAGCGTCGACAATACCTGTCCGAGACCACGGTTTAGTCGTGGAGAGACATCGCTCTGCTGTTCTACTGTCCAGTGTCTACCCCGGTGGAACCATACCGCAGTGCGCACAATTTTTTTTATTAGTTCAATATCACAAGACGGATTTTGGAAACGGGACGTTTCACCTTTTACACAAATCGTTATTACAGTCACCATAGTTTATTATTATTATTATTATTATTATTGTGAACCGCTACCATTTTTGAGATTTAAGGGGTCATCCAGTGTTTATAATACAATCGATAATAGAAATAAGGTTTAGAAAAACAAATAAATAAAAATTACACATCATAGTGTTGGGTGTATAAATTATTACCATAAAAATTTGTTTAACAGTTTTGAGTTGATGATGCAATTTCAAAGTGTGACATTCAGTTATTTTGGGTTCTACTATATAGTGAACTCCCCAAGAAAAATACATAATTGTAGATTGTTTTTTATCCACAAGAAAACTGTGTGTGATGTTGTGGATACTGCTAATACGTAACCCGGTTACTTTACTACCTCTAGTTTCCTTGAAATTTCCTGTGTACGTGTCCACTGACTAACTTTTTGTTTTGTTTAATTTAGTTTTCTGTGTTATAATTTACAATCAAATTTCAGTTGTATTTTCATTTTGTTAGTATTACAGGATATACGAGTATGTAGGACATGATTATACTTTTTATTGTCGTCTATCATATATGAATTAAGATCCGTTAAGCCTTTTAGTGTAATGCTCTTAAGTCGTATATGATTGTGGTGTAGAAACACACCTTCCTCATACCCCGTATAGTAAAATATACAAATCTTATCTTCCCCAGTGTTGTTTAAGTAAGTTTCAAGCATTAAAAAACATGCTCAACAAGTAGTGTTCACTTTAGGAATTGTCTACCTTGATATTATTACAACGTTTAGTTTTTAGTGATATAAATTATTTAATTGATAAGATCATTTGTGTAACTTATACTCCGTATATTACATACGAACACAAAATCACTCAGTCCCAAAACATGGTAGAACGTAATTAGAGCTATGGTGGTTTTAAAACAATCAGGTTAAGTTTACTCAATACGTGTCCACAAATATCGTAACATCAAAAAACCGTCGTCATTGATCGAACCAATAATAATCAGCGTTAACACCGCTGGGAAATAATAGTCATATTATGGGGGGCGTAAAAACGTTCGATTTGCGTTGTTGTAGACACTATCTATACTTATACCTATACCTATAACCTTAAGCAGGTGGTCCATTTTAAGTGTCCAAGGTTTGAAAACAGTAAACATTTTTGAAAAAACCGTTATATTTTTTACAATTTTTCGTCGTTAACATTTTTCTTTTACTTTTATACCTTTTAAACTTTTTTTAATGCCAACATACATTCTTATTTCATATTCCATAACGGAATTTTTTTCAACATGTTTCGATAAACTTTATGATAAGACCTAAAATCAAAATCCAAACGTGCGGTTCATTGAGTTATAGACGTTTGAAGTTTGACGAGCGGAGTAGATGCCCCCGTTCCGTCCTCTCTGCTCGTCTGAACTTTTTCGAAATAATGAGTGTAGACACTTAAACGGATCACCTTGTATACAATAATTGTATTGTGTCGACACGTACGTCGCGTATAGAAGAATCCGGAAGGATATGCGGTGAAACGTTTGTGAAAACAGAGTTGTCTGCGCATAGGAGGTACTCTCCACCCGCGGGATTCAATAGCACCGACAGCGATACAATAATATAATATAATATGATATCGTCGTCATCATCGTCATCATCATCATCATCATCATCATCATCATCATCATCATCATCATCATTATCATATACAAGACCGGATGAGAGTGACGACGACGACGACGACGACGACAACGCAAACATATAATATCGTCGCCGGAACGAGGACACGCACGACCGACGACTACAACTGCGACGACAAGCGAAGACGGCGGCGGCGACGTAGGTCTAACGGTATCTGGCGTGCAGGCGCAAAACAATCGGCGTGCGCGAGTATACGACGCGTTTCGTAAAGAAAGCGTTTGACCCCGATCAGCCGCCGCCGCCTTACAAGTCGTCGTCGTCGTCGTCGTCGTCGTACATAATACATAAGCACACGAGACGTACCTACGTGTAATAAAATATATAATACATTTATCTATACTCGTCAGAGCTATCGGAAACGCGTCTCGGTCTCCCGTCGCCGCCGTATAGTTTCACGCCCACTTTGCGCGTATTTATTATATTATTATATACTGCCCTGACGATCGCGATGACGGCGGTCTATTATTATTATTATTATTATTATTTCTGCTGTTATCGACGGTACGACGCGGGTACGGCCGACCCGCCGCGGTTGTGTCTTGGGACACGCACGACCTTGTCGGTTACTGAACCCGCCGGTAGACGATCGGCGTAATCTTCGTCGCCGCCACCGGCCGAAATAGTCTTGTCCTAGTCCGGTAGGACGATAACTCCCGACACGACGATGACCATAATAATATTATACGTTGCGAGTGCACACGCCTTGTATAACGGGCTTTTCGGCGTTGCGGAGAAGAAAAAAAACACACAATTCTACAGCGATCGCCGAGTCCTTAAAATGATTAATAATATAATGACGTCGCGGAGGTCGCTTAGCACTCGAAATTGACATTTCCTCCCCCCCCCCAAAACGCTTGTACGACATTCGCTTTAAAATGTATACCAACCGGATTATTGATCTGTACTAGAGTACAATTGTTTGAACACAATAATGTACGAAAACCGTCGGATCCGGTGGTGGATCGTCTGTTAGCCGGGCTATATCGATTTTCCTCTGGAAACTTCGTAAAACTCCTCCTTTAATTTTTTTATTTTTATTATTATGATTGTAGTACCGACGTCGAATATACGAAGATTTATGATCAACGCCTCGACGCGTCATTTATTAAATTTTTCTAAATTTTATTTATAATATCGTTACTTTATATTATACAATTATAATTTTATATACACTCGCACGCACGAGCGTGTTGTTTATGTGTTCTCTCAATCTCAAATAGGTTCCGTGACCAGGCAGTTTTTGAGAGTACAAAATATTATACTACTTGTGTGCTTCGAATTATGAAGATGTTAATTTTGAAACCTGTTCCTCAGACGAAACTCGTTTCCGTTATGTTTTCAAGGTGTTACACCAAAGTACAATTTGATTCACAAAACCCGCCGTTATACCTCTATCGACATATAAATAATATGAAATATTATCCTGTTATAGAAGCTCACGGATGTACATAATATAAATATATACGAATTAATATAACGCACGTGGTTATCGTGTTACCGTATATTATAATATTATTAAAACCCGTTCGGTTGTTAACGGCCGTTTTTCGCGTGGATCGACAAGAATGTTCTACCTAGAGCTTGGATTTCGAAAAAATGAATCGAAAAAAACAATTTATAATATTGCCCAAAAAATGATGTATTTAATTTAAGCATGAAAAATGAAACAGTAAAAAATCAAATTACCCATAAAAAAACGAATTTATTATCATATAATCATTTGTATAATGTTATGAATTTTGAAGTTCTTTCCATCCATTATTCTTTGAAAAAATACGACTTCCACTGTTTTTGGCAATAATATGTAGTAGGCAACCTTGCTAATATAACACAGTTAAAGAAATATAATATGACATTTCCCTGAATGTTATTTGAAAATGATACAAAAATTTGCATAAAGGTATAGTTAACGGAAAAAACAAAATAAAGTTTAAATAGTATAAAGTTTACTTTAAGACAACAATTCGAATGATACAAAACGAATTCGTGTACCTATACAAATTACGTTTTTATCACACTCTCCGGATGCAAAAAAATATTTTAGATTCAAAACCCAAGCCTGTCGCTATAACTTAAGCGGACTTTTCGACTCTACGAATCCTGTGGCCTGCAGTCACATATATTTTAGTGTTATCGTGTAGCACGTACCTACGTATTTCTAATTTTTAATATAACCACTACCGCGGTATAAATCGCATATTAGAGTAGCTCGACGTGCCGCGGGAAATGCCGTTGCCGCGACTAAACCATAATATTATTATAATATTATGGCAAATCACGACAGCTTGGCCGGCCGTCACCAAGTTTCTATAAGCGTATAGTTCACGAGCCGGCACCAAGATCTATAATTGTATGGATCACAGGCCAGCACTTCCTATGACACACACACCATCATCACCACCACCACCACCACCATCACCACCACCACCACCACCACTGCCGCCACCACCATCACAACCGCACGGATACCGTTACGGGAACGTGCGATCCGCACAGGACCGTTATACGCACGCCGCGGTCGCTCATACAATGGACCGGGAAAATATTATATACTTTGGCGTGTGACCCGAATACCTACTTAAATTTTATTATTATTACTATTATTGTTGTTGTTGTTGTTGGACGAAAAGTTTTGTGATTGTTGCAACTACGCTATTGTTGTCGCCACATTTCCACTGCTTGTTTTGGATGTTTCGATCGCGAGTAGAAGGTCCGATGCGCAGTGGACATGATAATAAATTATGCGCCTAACCGTGCCAGCCCTCTCCCGCCGCGACAAACACAACTTCCATTTTTTTCTCATCCAAACTATTTTTTTAGTTTTATTATTGGTGCAATATCGTTTTATCCAAAATGTAAAAATACCGTACACAGTAAATATTGCGATTGGGCGCTCCGCCAGTTAAACAAATTAAATAAATAAATATTATTGCTCTGTGCGTCCTTGTATCAATAGGTAAATTAAATGCTCGTACAATGCTTCATTACTCGCGATTACATTTTATTCATAGTATATGCATATTCTGTCTATACATAACATGTAAAAGTCGGAAGTTTTGCTTTTGTCGTGCATAACAATATTATACGTCTATAAATAATACAATGTATACATCGTGTTATGTACATTTCCTCCATACAGTTGCATATTATAATATTATTGGTACACATTAAGGCTCTCGTAATATATATTTGAACTTTTATACATACTTGTATGCATCGGCCATCGGTGCTTTTGTAAATAAATTGTTTGGCAGGGGTCATGTCCGGCAAAGTCCTGCAACCTTAACCCCCCCAAAATGACGCTCCTAGAGAGATGTATAATATTAAAATATTACACCATATAGGAGCACGTATAGAAGCACTCCCTATCATTTCTCGCAGTGTAAATTATTTCACCGATTCCTTACTATTATTGTCAATTTTAGTTAGGATTTAGAAGTTAAAGCTTCGTTTAAACGTCTATTTTAAATATTATTTTTGCGTATTGTCCATATAATTACCTGTACCGACATAATGATACAATATACTTATATACTATTATTTGTGATTTATTACCACGGCTTTTGTCTTACTCAGGTTTGCTGGACACCATCACCAGCACGGCGGACAGCAAGGACTGTCCGGGCGTTTGTGTGCACACGCTGGCCACTCTCATATGCTACGAAGTGCTGGAAAACGTTAAGTGTCCCAGCCCGACGATGCGGTGCTGCGTCGAACCTCCTCCATTACCGGCCAACAGTACTGCAGTTGCCGCCAACAAGGTAGTCCAAACGACCCCGGCCGCCGCGTCCAGCACCCGGCCTCAAACGGTGAGTGAAATCCCCGTCCTCTGCAGGTAGCCACGATGTACAAATTTAAGTTAAATTTTCATCAGTCAAATTTCTAATTTTTATTTTCTATTCAATACGCAATAATGTAGTCCACTATATTTTTTTCATTTCTCTTACAGAAAAAATATCCACCACATCAATAGAATTACACGTGGTATGCGTCATAATATTTCTCCTCCAAAATATATTTTCACCGGAGCAATATTGACATTTTTTTGCCGGAATTGAATACCAAAACCTGTAGGTTATATTGTAATATATATGCAATATTGATATTTAATAATACAAAAATTGACTTGAGCTGTCGTTTTGATCGTTCCCATGTACGGAGGACACCTTAAGACCAGCGTTGGGTATATCTTTCTTTTTTTCGTCAGCGTATACGTCACCAGGTTATTCAGTGTATATTACTGTATATATGTGTGCAATTCGTATCTCGAATTTTCTATTTTTAGACTTGAACGTGGAATACTTTTATGTTATTAATTTTGTAAACACTGAATACAATTATTGTTTTATGACTTATATTGTAGTAAAGTATTAAAGTATATGAATGATAATATAATCGTCATTTATATATTAATAATATCATCGTGGCGCCAAATATGCAGCGAATATATAAGAATTCTTAGCGCAATTCCGAATAGTCCCAGAAAAGAGTCGATCACACTCATCACACTCATCACCAGGCAAAATTAAACTATAATTGATAAAACTGATGTAATTTTTTTTGTCACTCAGGTCTCCTCTAGCAGCCAACAGCAGAGGCCGGCCGTTAATTCGTCGTCCACGGACAATCCGGGTAAGAAGGTAAACTGAAATAATAAACGGGCAATTTTTTGACATGGGAAACTTGTACTCACGCTTTACAGAGAAACGACTAACTAGTACGACAATAAGAATTTAAGCAAAATGAGCAATATACATCGGTTTAGGTTACATACGACTGTAAGAGTACCTATACTACGATATATATATTGTACACGTGTTTTTTTTTTTTGATTAAGGCTTCAACTACTAAGATAATTAGCCTGGTACTGTGTGGGGAGGGGAGGTTGGTTGGAACACGTTTGTATGCGTGGCAAGGATGTGTTGCTAAAAACCCGGATGGTCACCCATCAGAGTGCTAACAATTCGGCCGGTACGTACGCTCAGAGCGTTGCCGCAGATTGAGCGTACCACCGCGCATCACCAAGCCACACATGTGTTTTTATTTGTTAGTATTCAGTGGTACAGAATAAATAGTTACCTTTTCTAATTAGAAGAGCAATGTTCCAATAGTTTCGTTAAATATTTCATTTTTTTTTTTTGAGCTTTATTACTCAGTACAGCTCAGTACTATTACCTCACATATCTTATCTATATTATTTAATTACTTGAAATTGTTACTGTGTAGACCCAAAAAACTAATATAAATCATTTTAATAACGTTAATAAGAAAACGCACACCCCTAATCCAACTATTTTCACAGGGTATCAAAAATGGTTTTTCATAGAAATTAAAAAAAACTACTCTTTAGAATTGATATGAAGCGAACCTATGTTATGAACTGTTAGGTTAGATGGCCTTTTATAACAATGTTGTCGTATAATGGTTATTGTATGATTTCATCTCAAAGGCATCGTGTGTCCGGGAGTGTGTGTGGCCGAGAGAATAGCCGACTACTGCGAAGCCGTTCTGAACGTGACGGAGATGTGCAAGACGGGTCTTCGGTGTTGCGTGTCCAAGGACGCATTCGCCGGCGCCGAACATCTGGTCGTGTTGGACAGGAACTCGACCAGGATCAGCCTGAACAACGCCCCGCACCGGCCGCCTCCACCGTCGTCCACCACGACAACGGCGGCGACGACGACGACAGCGGCCGTGGACACCTCAGCGTCTGCGGCCGCGCCTGCGCCGCCTGTGGGCAGCAAACAGTGTCGCGGCGAGTGCGTCAGCGGGTTGTTCGCCCTGTTCTGCGACGACGTGGACGCCGAAGCGTACTGTCCCGGCGACGACAGCAGTTGCTGTGTCACCGCGCCCGCCGACGGACAGTCTGGTCAACAACAGCAGCAGCCGCCGCCGCCGCCGCCGCCACGTCCCACCCAGCCGTCCAAACAATCGTCGGCCAGGCCACCACCGTCTACCACCACGGCCACGGGCCGACCGTTACCCAAGTGCCCGGGCTTCTGTCTGCTCAACCTGATGGCCGCTTTCTGCGAACGACCGTCAGTGCTGGTCTCGTACACGTCCACGTGTAAACAGGGTTCGGTGTGCTGCGACAACACCAAAGCGGCCGCACCGTCCACCGCGCACGCCACGCAAAAACCCAAACCCCGGCCGCCCGCGCCCACTACCACCACAGTGGCCACGCCACCCGCACCGCCCGACGATCGGCCAGAGTGCCCGGGATCGTGCATCGTCCCTTACTTATCGTTCACATGTTTCAGTAAGTATTTTTTAATACGAGTCTGGGTCATACTACAACGTGTCGTGTCGAGTGCCGTTTACATGTATTTAATTCATAGGTAACGCGCAATGTCGGTAACACGAGTTACCTACGACTGGGCTACTAGTTAAATGGTATATTATTCAACTCTTAACGACACGACACTAGTGAGAATTTGACTTTACTTATAATATTATATTCACTTATACAGTTTACCGTTACCTATTGGTATTTTGGTATAATATATAATACTGAACTTATATAACGTCGGTTTTTAATGTTTTTGCATTAATTAATTAAAATAAATTCATTACTCATTAGGTTGACGGAATTGAAAAAATAAATTTCGCTTGCAGAAATAACGGTTTTTTTGTTGGTCTATAGGAAACGCTGAAATGACAGACGTATTCAAATGCCGAAAACCAGGGACGCAGTGTTGTGCTTCAAAAACACAAATCCGCGAAGTCGTTGAACAGAAGACTGGAGTCATCAACAACTTGGTCAATCCGCCTCAATCCACTCCGCCAACCTACGGTGGATTTACGCATAGAAACGACACCGTACCGCAGTTTAGGCCGCACGTGCCGAGTTCGTTGCAAGTGTACACCCCGTCTCCAGGTTGGTACATATATGTATAAGTTTAATGCTGTAGTTTTCACGAAGATGTTAGCATTATAGTACACGTAAAAGTCACAACAAAATTTCACGTTACCTTCTATAGAGTCTTGATTGATAGTTTACCACAAAGCTGTCTTCATGAAAATTGTACGTCAGTAATTTTACTGATATCGATTTTTGTTTTTGAATTTTTATTGAATTGTTCACAAGTCATGAAATCTTTATCAGTAGGTAAAGATAAACATTGACTTTTTTTGGTAAACAGAGATTCAATAGTCGTTTTTTTTTGGAAGTTGTATCAAATTTAAAGAATCTTACCCAGTCTACTCACCACTTGTATCCGATCGCAACTACAGTTTTTTTAATCTATAATTTGATTACCTAAATGTGTTATGTATATTATATTTAAACAAATTTGCTCATTAAGACATACACGTAGTAAGACATAAAATGTAGGCTATGAGGGAAATATCACCCAAAGTGCTCCAATTATTTTATAAACAAAATAAATGTAATCTCCTGCTTAAAATATGATAGGTACAGTGACTATAAATCTGACTCGATTTTTGAAACTCGATAGTGTAGTTCCCTACCCATTTAATATTGTATTGACATAATATTAATCTTGAATTAAAATCTAAAATGTTGTACAGTACACATAAGTAATGCATATTATGCTCGAGTTTGCTCGTCTTTGTCGTGTGTAGAACGTATGTTGTATAAAATTGTTCTGATTATTGATATTATTTCACTAATTAATATGTATTTTTTTCCAGTCGATTATTCGGCGAATCCTACAGTGTCCACGTTGACCACGTCAAATCCTGTACCTTCCAAACCGTCGACGTACAGCAAGTACGTGTGTGGCGTAAAAGGAACGTCTAGGACGAGGACGTCGAGAGTAGTCGGTGGTGAAGACGCGGACGCGGCCGAGTGGTGTTGGCAAGTGGCGTTGATCAACTCCTTAAACCAATATCTGTGCGGAGGAGCATTGATCGGCACTCAATGGGTGTTGACTGCAGCGCATTGCGTTACAAAGTGAGTGTTTCAACTTGATCCGAACCAGTGGTTCATAACTGCATGATTAGAGGTGGGATTTGATGTGATCGAGAAACGGATAAAATAGTGAAGTACATTAAAATTTAAAAAAAAAGTTTTGCCACATAAATTACAGTGTATGACGTATAATCCAATGCTAGTAACGTTCAATATTAAATTATTAAAATTGTTAACAATGTTCTTCTCCTCGTCAAATGCATCAGAAATTATTCTTTAACCTTTTGAGGAGTATCTTTTCACTATTTCAACACATATATATATATGTATTTTTGATAATATTAAATATGATTTTTAAACACCCCGCAAGTCCTGTTTAAAATCTTACTTTGAACTAACGGTCTTCGTATAAATACATTATTCTTATACAATTATAATTACAAAATAAGTTCAATGCATAATGAGTTGTAATAAATGTTATGTATAGATAACTGTAAAATTCTAGATATGTAACTGCGAATACTGACACGGGATTTAAAACGGTTACTATATAGCTAGATACAATAACGTGGGAACTAATATTATATTATGGTATACGGAAAAATGTATCAATTACAGTTAAATAACAATATTGTAATTTATTGCAAGGTGCTAATTACATAAAAAAAAAATACAACCAATTATAAGTTACGTTCTTGTTTAAATAACTGTGTCTCAATTATTAGTGTCCTATTTCTAACTGTATATTTATAGTATGATTCTTAACGCGTTATAAACAACATTCCAATTGTTTTTTTGTGCAACTGAAATATATTTTTTTGACTATTACCTAGTTAATTACACTAAAACGTGTAGTATTATGTATGATGTTTTCTATTGTTGCAACAATCCAAATATACAATTTCACGGAATCAAGCTATAATTTCATACATTATAATATTACTATTAATATTATTTGACTAATTAAAATTAAAAATCATTAACCTGTTTAATGGTATTAAACCGTATATTTTTGGTCGAAAATATTCATTTATAAGTTCAAATTACAGTCTTCTGTCAATCAAAGTCGCCAGAGTGGCAAAAGGTGGATCTAACGTTGGAGCTTAACATAAATTTTTAGTTTTAATTTCAAAACCATATTAATTCTCATATTCTACTAACCGTCTTGTGTGAAATTCGTCACCTCCAACTCAAGTCGATGATGATTGTATCATATACGTCTCGTGATTTTTCAGTATTGTGAGGTCCGGTGACGCGATCTACGTGCGGGTGGGCGACCACGACCTGACCCGAAAGTACGGAAGTCCGGGAGCACAGACACTTAGGGTGGCCACCACGTACATCCACCACAACCACAATTCACAGACTCTGGACAACGACATCGCCCTGCTAAAACTCCACGGTCAGGCCGAGCTCAAGGATGGCGTGTGTCTGGTGTGCCTGCCGGCTAGGGGTGTCAGCCACGCGGCCGGCAAGCGGTGCACGGTCACCGGATACGGATATATGGGCGAAGCAGGTCCGATCCCGTTGCGCATCCGGGAAGCCGAGATCCCGGTGGTCAGCGACACGGAGTGCATCCGCAAGATAAACGCGGTCACCGAAAAGATATTCATACTTCCGGCCAGCAGCTTTTGTGCCGGCGGTGAGGCCGGAAACGACGCCTGTCAGGTGAGCACGCAGCTTTCGGTCCGGCCGATTGTACATGTTATGATACCAAATAGAACTGTGAATTCAACACTACAATGTGTTACCTTAAAAAAAGAAATTCAAATCCCAAAAAATAGACCAAAAGTTTCAATAACGTATTAAATATAATATGCATTTTACATTTTTTTTTAAATTCTCAAAAAATCTCATTTTTAAAAATATAAAAATGCCAATTCCTAATGGACAGTGACTAGTAGTATAGGTGGTCTGTAGTGTATGCCTCAAACCCGGATACTTTTTAAGCCATTGGATTGGTGAATATACAAATATGCACTTACATAATATTGTATAGATAGGACTGAAACTAAGGATTTAAAATATATTTTTTTACTAATGCTTTATGATTGCAGGGAGATGGCGGTGGACCTCTTGTGTGTCAAGACGATGGATTTTTCGAATTGGCTGGATTGGTGTCTTGGGGTTTTGGATGCGGCAGAATAGACGTACCAGGTGTCTACGTTAAGGTTTCGTCATTCATTGGTTGGATCAATCAAATTATAAGTGTAAACAATTTATAATTTTAAACATTCAAACATTAGTTTGTATTAGTTCAAATTAAAGTCGAATATTGTTTAAATTTAACTTAAGTTCATCAATAATTTATTTATTTATTATTTATTTTGTATATAAACCTTAAAATTAATTTCTATGATTAAAATGACATAAAATATATTATATACATTCTCGTATAACCGTATTATTTGCGCAATTTGTAAATATAAAATAAAACCTTAATTTGCGTATTAAGTAAGTATAAAATTGACATCGGTGACGTATAATTGTAATACAAATATTTTGCCAATATTCATGATATTAGCTATAAGAAAATATTGGTGTATTCAAAAATATATGTTCAACAAATTACATTTATCACAAATCATTTTAATTATATCCATTAATGTTTTATGTTTAAATAAATAAATCATTGTATTAGATATATTGAATTTAAAAATGTGTAATAATTTTATATAATTAGACACTTTATACATTAAGGGCAAATTAAGTTGGAATTGAATTTTTAGATTCTTACAATATTTTATAAAAAGAAATATGCATTTGTTGAAAAGTATAAAAAAGTGTTAATTGTAATACATTTTAAACTAAATATAAACATTATAGTAAAATACAAATTTTGATTTTCAAAGTAGGTTCTTACATCGTAAATGTTAAAATATAATTTTGAAAAATGTACGATTACATGCAATAATACACAGAATCATCTTGTTAATGAAATAATGAAATAACATTTATCATTTCCCCAAATGTTTTGCAATGAATTCAACAATATTATTACTCGTAATTCAATTTTTATCTGTATTGGCTTTTTATTTGGAATTACATGATGTTTAAAAGTAACTAGAATATAAAATACTCATTATAACATTACATTAATTTAAATTATATACTATCGCTATTTAGAGTTTATTTGAAGCTACTATATTTAAATTTAAAATTATATTATAAATAACAAATCTCGACATAAGGCAGCAACGGTAATATTGTTTATTAATTACTATAATTTATAGCACACATTGTAAAGGAAAGTTAAATTTCATGATTTAGAAAACAATTATGAAAAAAGTACAATATGATATTTGTTGCTAACTTTAATAAAAAAATAAAACTTTAACTATCATTTTTGATATTTAAAAGTAGTAAGAATATAATGATATACCAGGTAGATTTAATATCATATTAAGTTTTGAAGTCCCTGAAAAAAAAAACCAAAAAGTATAGTACCTTATGAAAAAAATAATCACCTCAGTGGCAGAATACTCGTCGCGCGCTGAAATATAAATAATGATATAATTTTAAAACCATAAATCATCGCATTTGAAAGCGATTCCTGGTAGTGCTCAATTTATACTACTCTTAATGACACTTAAGAGGACGAACGCTGCTGGCATTAATTGTTGTTTCTGCCTTACAAGTGCGCAACATAGCAAATATTATGAAACCCGATGGTAAGAACATTAGGTATCTGTGTTTGTACTTGGTTTTTTTACGAAAGTTCAATTTTTTTAACAAGGTTTGCACGTATAACATAGTGCAAATTAAAAATGCTCATAATATAACTCACTCGAAACACTTTCAAACACAGACAATGTTCTGACCGTCAAGTTTTATGAGAGGTCGATTTACTCTAATAATTAATTTAAACTAACGCAGCCACACGTGATCTTCTGAGAGTAATTTTGGTACGTTATAAGCACTTGTAACACGGAGACAACAAATGGCAGTGGTACGTCCTCTTGATTACTAAGTTTTCGCTAGTTTTCAGTATATTTTCGTTTGAGCTTAGTGAAACTATTGGGGAAAAAACTCATAGCCATAGTTTATTTTGCCTCAGTGCATAAGCACTTGTGCCACGTTCATGCTCAAATAAATACTGTACAAAATATTATGAGCTCTTATTGTTGTCATCGTCAAAAGCAGTGCTGTACTAAAATTAGTATCTAAATATACAAATACCAGGATCGTGTTTACGTCGGATGTTTTAGATTTATGACCAATCAATCTGAGAAATTCATATGGGTGCACAGTATATTTCTGTTGTATTCGTTTAGTAATAATTGTATTATAAAAAGTACCTTATACAAATTCTAATTTTACACGATTTGTGTCTATACTCATATTACAGCGCAGTTCGAAAGGTTCTGATTTGATTTATAGTTTTAAAATATCATCCAGTGAGATGTCTGATTACTGTACACAAAATCCTTCCTGAATAGTATATATATCTAAATTGTTCGACTTTTGGGAAGCCCAAAAGTCTCGTCCTACAATATAATGATGGACTATGCGGTGATCACGATGTTCATATGACGTGCATCATGTATTAGACGATTTAAGACACATCATGTTAAATTTAAAATTTAACTGACCATTGAAAGTGAAGCTGCAAATGGACTTGTTTCTCAATTACTAAACATACACTTCACAAATATCAGTTCTATGTTCTAATATGTGCCACAAACTATGCTGCTGCCGAGCCCCTTGCAAGACTGATGCGGCAATATATGTAAAACGATTGTTCTCTTCTTCGTCACATTGTACTATTATAATTAACTTTCTAGTAAATTGTCCATTATTTGTGATTATTGATCCTTAAAAAATATGTTTATTTGTAAATGGTGTTATTGTAATTTATGTAACCGTTCGACTATCAGTTTGTACTCTTAAAATATAAATAAAATAACTACCAAACTCTCATCGCATATTATTCTTGATAAAATTAACATATTTTATAGATGTTATGATGCGTACGGAGGATAGTTAAAATGATTTTTACTTATCAACGCCTTTATAAATATTTATTGGCGTTAGGCGTGAACAGACAATATAAAACCGATCAATCCGAGATTAATAATATCATATACCTATTTCGTTTGTTGTTTACTTACCGATTAACTGTTTTTTGTTACCATCTATAATATAAAATATTCACGTATTTGACCCGTTACGATTGATCGATCGAAGTAGTTTAGGCTTTGATGTTTGTCTCTAGAATGTCCACGACCCAAATATTTTCGTGACCTTTTTAGTTGTTATAAGAATTAATGTAGGTATATTAAATATTTCACTATACTATACCGTTCACTGCGATCAATAATAATAATAATAATAATAATAATAAATAGAACCTTATATTATCTTTCTATACGTCGATGTTAGACGTAAGATACGTTATTTCTTAAATCAATACTAATACTACTGTATAGACATCGAACACAAATCATTTTATATTTTATACATTTTCGAGGATTTTCAATAGACATTGGTAAACTTTGGACCAATGATCTTACCAATAAACTAATGAATTATAATTATTTATTACTTTATAGTTATAATTCATAAACTAAATACGTCATTTAAACTAACATACCTAATAGTGTATGATGTAGGTACACAGTTTTTTTTTATATATCGTTTAAACTAAACAATTAGTTGGTTAAAAAGTCATACAAAACACTATGAACACGTTAGAAATTTGCATTTTATCTCATTATGTCTTTATTGCCTATTATTCTATGTATTTGTGCCTTTATTCCCTATCTGTAATTTAATTTAAATTAAAAACTTTCTACGCTGATAAAAATCAGTATCGATACTAATTTTACTCTTGTATGGGACCCTGCGTTAATGAGTAGGTAATAGGTATTGACTATTATAGGTAGGTATATTAAAATATGTTTCATGACAATCGCTGTAGTCACACGTTTTGAATTCATATTTTCTAACTGGTAAGTAGGTACACCAACGTATATCACATCACATTTCTTTAAACTTTTTCCGGTTTATTAACAATTTTTTGCTTACAGCGACAAAGCTAATAATTGTTTATAAATATATTTAACAGACATTTCCTATAATTTTGAAAGAAAAACACAATAATTTAAAGTTTAAACATTAACATGACTACCCTTTGACCAATAATATTGTGGTTCAAAACTCGTTGGATATATATAATTTAAGTAAAATGTTTATACTTTATTCCTCCATGTTTAAGATTAGATACTTAAATTTAAATAAAAATGAATGCTTTCTTCGTCAAAATGTATTTATTCGTATGACTTCGTGATGGGAGAACGCAATGAATAAAGAAAAATGAAAATAAGATAGTATATTAGCATAAACATAAAGTGTAGTGGCATATTATATGTTTATTGTCTGCATAATTTACCAACGACACAATTCTTTGAAAAAATTGTATGTCTATAGGTCAATGTTAAACGTGTTACATTTATCTTAAAAATGATTTAAAATAAATAGCCGCATAAATTAGTAAATAAATAGAAAACTGCAGTTTAAATCTAAGTGAAACCAAAATGTAACTTTAAGTAGGTACCTATATTAATTACTAAGACACTGACCTATTATGGGTATCTAATATAGTGATTACAACAAAACTTGCTGTAATTTATAGGCAATGTATTTTAATTTTTTGTTTGCAGCTTCAACCAGTATTTTTTTTTCCATTTAAGTTTAAAAATCAGAAAGATGTGAGTAGCCGTTGAAATAATATATTTTTGTTTCCTGTTGACGGAGTTTTGAGATTATCATCACTGTGATTATTGTCGGATGTCGTAATAAATTTAAATTTATTTAATCGATGCGACGCCTCCCGGCACCTCATTTTTCCCACATTTTTCGCATTCAAACACAACACAAATAGTGGCCGAAATCGGGCGGGTCCCTGATTGTTTTTCACTCGTCGTGTCGTCGTCGTCTATTTCAAAATCATTTATGGTTACGCACATATAGATTTAGTGTCAGTATTATAGTGTATATAGTATGCCACCGAGACGCATAAACGTGCGACGTCTCGCTATATACTGCAGTGATCTGATTCGACGAATCACCGCGGGCGACAAAAATTAATCATTTCGAACTCAATGGGCGACGTCCGTGCACATGTTTCAATAAGGCCATGTGCCCATGTGTCATCTACACGCGCCGTACGGAACTTTCATATACGGATCTCAGCAACAGTGCTGTACATCGTAATTTAGTGAAAGTCAAATGCACGATTAAGCATTAAATTATATATATTTACGAGCACGTTACCGGGCGATTTAAAGGAGTAAAAATCGGCGTTTTACTCGCCGGACTCGCTCGTCCCGGTGGTCGTTACGCCTCCTCAGATCGCTTGTATTTTCCCAAGTCCGGGGGATTACGGTAACCGACGTGTTTTTGCTCCTTATAAACGACCAGTAGTTGTGCGTCGACCAATTTAAGTTGATTTATGCGCTCAGCATAAGGTGCAGGTAGACGATAATTATTTTAGGTTCTATAGGTGAAACAAATATTGTGTTGGGTTTTAATAAGAACGCTTTACATATAACACAATACGTATGTAATACACGTACCAGATAGGTATATGCATTATCCTACATCATATTACGTGGTACGTATAATTGAAATTTAATGTTTATAATAATTAATTGTGTGCATGTACATGTATATACTAATGATATTATACATATATAGATTATAGGTTATCTATTATAAATACTATTTAT